CATAAGTCTGAAGTAATGAATTCTGGTAAAGGGGTGCAGAGCCAGTATATAATATAATATACACTGTAATATATTAACTGTATTTCATCTAATTGGCTTTAATCATTTAATAGTCTGTTGCATTGTGTAGTTATTTTTCAGCTCCACGTGGAATCAGACGCTCTACACATGAACAGTGTGCTCATAATTGCATTTCATATCGTTCCGTGTTTAAGTCTATTCTAACGGTTTTACTGCAATATCAGTTAGGTGTGTGCGTGATATTGACCAAAATTGACAGCTCTGTTTTCTGGGATTTTGTCGAGTATGTTTTTGGGCTGGTTTTGTCTTCTCGTGGACGGCAGACTTTTCTGTGCACTGGTCTGTACACCGCAGAGACAGGAATTAACTTTTCCATTAAAGGGCAACATTTGCCCACCTTACGTTGATTCCAAGGGTGTTTTACCATTATACGTTCCTTTTTCTCTAACTGTTCACTGCAGGAGCTGCATCTAAAGCAGTATCTTTATGTGTTTACACAGACCAGTTAATGCAGTGTAAATGCATTAATGCCACCTATGAGCTGCAATTACTATTGCAGAAATAATTATTTGTTTGTTTAAAAAAAATTTAATAAAATGATACTTTAAATATGAAACTACAACCTCCAGTAGGTGGCAGTGAAAGTGTGCACTATTAAGGTGTGTTTTTGTTTTGCTTTTTGCAAAGTGAGTGACTTATTGGATATTGTCAGAGTTAAAAGAACAATTATGATATAATCATAGATGATAAATCTCTGACACCTTTAGTATCAGTGCAGAAACCCCATTGGGGTCTAGTATAAACCACTGAGAGACACACGTCGATCGATGCTGCTTCTGTGAGAGCACTTGAGTTAGGGCTGTGCAAAAAATCTAATGTGATTTTGTGTAGCTTGTCAGTGAACTACGGCTCTGTGTAGTAAATGCCGCTCCATCTGAAAGCACGTGTTGGAGATTTACTACTAATCACAGGAGCGGCTTTACTGACGAGATGCGCATTAAATTCGCAGGTCATAGACGTCCAGTTCCTGTACGGCTGCCAGGCGCCCACCGTCTGCTTCATATATCAGGTATGGATCTTCCTGCGCGATGTGTTTGAGAGCGAGTGTCCCGTCTGCTCATGCGACTGTGTGTGTGTCCAGGATCCTCAGGGTCGGCACGTCAAGACATACGAGGTTTCTCTCAGAGAGAAGGAGTTCAACAAAGGACCCTGGAAGCAGGAGAACGTGGAAGCTGAAGCATCGATGGTCATTCCGGGTGAGGTGACGCTTCACAGACGACTGTTCAGATCTGTTGAACTCGGGCTGCTTGAGCAGAAACCCACATCATTACAAATACTGTATAATAACTTGCATTCATACCAGAACAAGCATTATGCTAATCAGGATAGCATTATGGTTTTATAAATCATGCAGAGTTTGGGACATTTGAACCCTCTGTAAATGTTCTTCACACACAGCATCTCTTTAGCTAAAATAGGCAGCACTAGTATTTCTTGTAAAAATGCATTTCAACAAACAAATCTGGTCTGATCATAAATTAAACGGTGTTTTCTGATTTGTTAATCAACCAGTGAATCATTAACAATTATAAATTACTGTTTTGAATAATTTATTTTGTTAAAAGGATTTTTACAGTCCAAAATGATTCAAATACCATTTTAAAGCTCCTCTGCTTAACTCTGTCATTACAGATTGTCTGTTACACTCTTATTTAATTGTTCGTTAAATTCATTCTTACAGGCTTTGTTCACCCAAACTTGACTGTAGTGATTCATGTTCATGAAGTTGACTGAGCGTTATAGACATGCTGGTTTATGAATCATTGGTGTGAAATGTTGTGTGTTCACATATATTCAGTCCCAGAGCCGTTTGGAGGAGCTATAATCATCGGACAGGAGTCCATCACTTATCACAACGGAGACAAATACTTAGCCATCGCTCCTCCAACTATCAAGGTGAACACATCTGCTGATGTCCTCCTGTCCGTTTCAAGCTGTCGTTTGTATTCTCATGTACTCCGTGATTAAAGCGTGTTTCAAACATCACAGCAAAGCACCATCGTGTGTCATAACCGCGTGGATCCGAACGGCTCGCGGTACCTGCTGGGAGACATGGAGGGCCGACTCTTCATGCTGCTGCTGGAGAAAGAGGAGCTGATGGACGGAGCTGTGGTGCTCAAAGACCTGCATGTGGAGCTGCTGGGAGAGGTGCGTCAGAGCTGCGCTACACTACACATGCTCTCCTAATGCTCTGTGCTCCTCTCAGCAGACTGCAGGACACTACATCAGTTCAGGACTTAGATTATGTTCTGTGTGTGGGTATACAGTGGTGGCCACAGTTATTAGAACACTACTGTTTTCTAGTATTTTCTATCGTTTGCTGTAGTGTGTCAGTAGGAAATATCAGTTTACATTTCCAAACATTCATTTAGTCATTAATTGTAATAATCCAGTGAGATTATTGTGAAAGTGACGTGACGTGGCCAAGAATGGTGACCCATACTCGGAATTAGTGCTGTGCATTTAACCCATCCAAAGTGCACACACACAGCAGTGAACACACACACACCGTGAACACACACCCGGAGCAGTGGGCAGCCATTGTTTTGCTGCAGCGCCCGGGGAGCAGTGGGGGGTTCGGTGTCTTGCTCAAGAACAGCTCAGTCGTGGTATTGAAGGTGGGAGAGAGCGCTGTACATTCACTCCCCACCACCTACAATCCCTCGACTTCCCCTATTGTCTGACAGCAGCCAGTGCTGCACACAGAGATCTGATCTGATCATCATCAGTCTGTCTGGAGTCACATGAAGAAACAGAACAAACTGAGACAGACTCAATCCAGAAGAACTGTTTCTCCGAGACGCTTCTAGAAACCTCCTGCGAAGCTCCTGAGAAACTCTGCTCAAGTGCACCGAGGACAAAAGCTGCTTTAAACACAGAGATGCTCGCACCAAATGTTGATTTAAAGGCCACCTTTTATGCCCCTTTTTACAAGATGTATTATTAATCTCAGGTGTCCCCAGAATGTGTTTGTGAACCTATACTGACCGCTGTTTGGGTCTACGCTGTTAAGATGACCCAAACAAGCAGAAAATCACTCACTGCTCTGAACTGAACAACTTCTATAGCTCGAATAGGAAGATATTTCTTGAATGCTGCTTTTAAATGCTCTGGCGTGAAGATAAGCATGGTGGATAGTGTGTGTGCAGCTCACTCAGGGCGGGGTCACGGCTGATACGGCTGTGTCAATCAACTATCGTGGGCGGGGCTGGTAATGTGTGATGTCACACTTTACAGATTCTGTGATCGGCTTGCTCTGAGACACTGCTCATGATTTATAGAAATTAAAAAACAAGGAGCGGGTAGATTTTTATCATTATAGGGTGGTTGTGTACACACTGCCAACACACATTTATGTTCAAACAACATGTAAAAGTGAATTTTGCATAATAGGTGCCCTTTAATTTAGTTAATAGAAGTTGATGAAATTAGTTTTTTATACATAACACCGGAACATTAGGCTGATTAAAAAGTGAAGTGACAGTGCAGATGTGCAGTCAGACAAACCATTAGTTTTCAGTCACAGTCCGGCCTGTAGATCGCTGGATGTGTCGGTTTTATCCGTTCGGTGTTGATTTGATATGACTGCAAATTGCAATGCTTAAATCAGATACAGACGTGACTAGCATCTCTGTTTGTGTTCACTAGACCTCTATCGCCGAGTGTCTGACGTATCTGGATAACGGTGTGGTGTTTGTGGGATCCAGACTAGGAGATTCTCAACTAGTTAAGGTTGGTAGTCTCACGGATTCATTATTGTTCTGTGATAATGGCGTGTTTGTTAAGGCCAGCGTGGTGTTTGTGTGTGTTTGCAGCTGAATGTGGACAGTAATGACCAGGGTTCGTATGTGGCTGTAATGGAGACCTTCACTAACCTGGGGCCGATAGTGGACATGTGTGTGGTGGACCTGGAGAGACAAGGACAGGGTCAGGTGAGAGACGTCTGCGCATCACTGCGGCCCAGAAGAGCCCTGATTCAGATTCAGTGTGTCATCAGTTGCTGTGTGTGTTCCTGCAGCTGGTGACGTGCTCCGGAGCGTTTAAGGAAGGCTCTCTGAGGATCATTCGGAATGGCATTGGGATCCATGAGCACGCCAGCATCGACCTGCCCGGCATCAAAGGTGCGGTTAAGTGCTCTTCATGTTAATCACTAGCCGCTTACATGCTGTGAATGCACAGTATATCTGTGCTGATTTCCTTTTCCTGCTGTACTGTACTGCTGATGTTTCAGCCGGGTAACTTGTTAAATGAAGGCACTTTAATTTCTTTACAAATATTGAACTGTGTAGCAGTTATTAGCATCATCCAAAATTCCTGTATCAGCTTTATGTATTATTGAGTCATTCAATTTAACAAGTTAATTCAGTACAATGATTTAAATAAAAAATCTAATTTAAAACCTCATTGCAGCACTTTTCACCTCAGTAATCCGTTTCGTGACGTCTGCTGAGAGCTGAACTTCCTGTCAAACCTAATCCACAGATTGATTGCTGCTTAATGACGACTGTAACGTCATGTAATCTTTTGCAGTTTTAGGTGGAGCATCATCACGTTCTACAGCTTCAGTTTTGGAGCTTTCACGCTTAGTAAAGCATACAGCGGTGTCCTTGCCACAGTGCAACAGTGAAAAGGGACCCCTTTCAAACAGTGTTCCGAACGTTGTTTAAACGACATACACCGGTATGGCGGTATTTTAAAAATTCATATCATAAGAAAAATAAACACCGGTATTCGGTATGAACCGGTATACTGCCCAGCACTACACACACGCACACAACTGAGCCGTACTGTACTGTGGTGGTGTTCACGTGTGTGTGTGTTCAGATCACGTCGGTGTCTGTGAGGCTGGTCACTCAGGACAGCAAGGCTCTGGTGAGCGAGTGGAAGGAGCCTCAGGGCAAGAACATCAGCGTGGCGTCCTGCAACAGCACTCAGGTGGTTCTGGCTGTGGGTCGAGTGCTGTATTACCTTCAGATACTCACAGGAGAACTCAAACAGATCAGGTACTCACTCACCCTCTCACACAAACAGAGAAACACTCACACAGAGAATCACTCACTCACTCACTCACTCACACAAACTCTCACTCACTCACTCACTCTCTCTCTCTCACACACTCACTCACTCACACAAACTCACACTCACTCACTCACTCACTCTCTCTCTCTCACACACTCACTCACTCACACAAACTCACACTCACTCACTCACTC